TTAAAATACAACAAATGATCCATTTTTTCCATATCCCATCTTTTATCTATAAACAAATCCATAAAGCATGGTCATTTCGGTGTCAACAAAAGTTCATTAACGTTACCAGAAATGACAACATATCTGTCTTAACCATGATCAAATAAACCCACTTTATATTTCCCCCTTTTACTTCTGACAGTCTTAATCTTTAGCGCAAATAATGTTGCAGAACTTGATTTTTTTTTTTTATTCTTCCTGTTCACAAGAGTCCTCAAAACTTTAAGAAGCCTCTTTTGTAAATTCAATATAGGAAAATTATCCATGTCACTCTCTGGGTTTATTGTTTAATTATTAAATTCTTCAGTTCTGATACAAAAGAGAACATTCTTAACTACTTATGTAGGTAGAAAGTTAACTACCCTCAACATTTTTGTTATATTCTTCTAGTATCTCCCAGATGGTGGAGGTTGCCTACCAAAGTAATTTTTGCCCCTGGATTCCTGCAAAACCAGAGCATAGGCATATCGCTGATCTGTATGTCATTCAGTCATGGATTAAGCAAAATAAGCACACGATCAGAGCACCAAGGGAAGAGAGCACCACATGTTTTTCCCCATAGCTATTATGCCCTTAATTCTTTCACGGCTACACTCAACTTTAGTCATTTTGGGGGGTAATTATCTTAGTCTGCTGTGTCTCATTTTAATTTGCGTTGTTGAAAGCAAATCTTTTCTTTGACTAAAGTTTAAAAGTTTGGTTTGAAAGTGTCATCAGATATCACATTTGTTTTGTTTCTGTCTGATGGTAGAAGAATTTTGCTTCCCTTGGGAACTACCAGTAGGGTTTTCTTTTTAAGCATTGTAAAAATTACATAATGCATTATATTATTCCGATACAAGTATATTTATACAGTATTGATTAAAAATGATAAACACTCTAATGCTTAAATAGGTTAAGCCATTGAGAATACGATGAAATGAATACTATCTGTCTTAACTATCGTTTAAAATGTCAGTGTTAATAAGCGTAAGGATATTTAGCTGTTTCATCAAGAAGTGAACATAAGAAGATGTTGTTACAATAAAGCACCCGCTGAGATTGCATTGAAGTATTTCTTGTACAATAAAGGTTTTGGTCTTAAGCTAATTAGCTAGAATACAACACCACTATTGAGTTGTGTATAGGGCATCAGTTGGCCTTAATCGGGCTCTGATATTATTGTACATAATTAAAAATATCCACAGTATTGCTGGCTTTCTTTAAAAAGTCTCTGCTTTAGCTTTCCTTGAAGATTATCAGGAGACAACTCCCACAGTTAAAGTCAGATGCTAATCTCCCTCTAGTATTTAAAGGCTACTGCTTGCACTCAACATCTATAATAGTATACTCAATTTCGATCAAATCAAAATGAGTCTTACTTACAGGAGGGCCGGGAGCTCCAGGTAAACCACTATCACCTTTCTGGCCACCAGGACCCTATGAAAGAATAGAATAGTACAATTTTAATTAGCCTTATAAATTGAAAAAGAATAGTGACCACACCAAGGCCGGAAGGGGGGGAAGGGGGAGGGGGGAATCTGTGTGGAGGAACTTACCGATGAACCTTTAGAACCTTTGGGGCCTTGAGGACCCTATAGAAAAAAGTATGACACAGTTATACAAAAATTATATTTGTAAAGGTTTCTATATAATGAACCAAAACAGGGTAAACTGGATATAGCTACTTACAGGTAAACCAGGAGGGCCTGGAGGTCCAAGTGGGCCAGCTGGTCCAGGAATTCCCTAGAAAAAAAGTATGTATTAAATCATTGCTGGTCATTACATTAAAAACAGCATTGCTGGGTGTGGAATTCTGGGAGTTGAAGTCTACCCATCTTAAATTTGCGAAGATCAAGAAACACTGTATTGTCTTTTAATTGGTAAGGCATATACAGATAATCTTTGACTTACCACCATTTGTTTAGTGACTGTTTGACATTACGACTCATGGAAAAAAAGTGACTTATAACCGGTTTTCATGCTTATGATTATTGCAGACTATTGCAAAGTCACCTGATCAAAATTCAGATGCTTGGCAACTGGCATGTATTTATGACAGTTGCACTGTCCCCGGGTCCTGTGATCACCATTTGTAATCTTCCCAACAGGCTTCCGACAAGCAAAGTCAATGGGGGAAGCCAGATCTGCTTAACAATCACATGATTCACTTAACAACTGCCATGATTCACTCACTTTTGTGGCCAAAAGGTTGTAATATGGGGCAAAACTCATTTAACAACTGCCTTGCTTAGCAAAGGAAATTTTGGACTCAATTGTGATCATAAGTCAAGGACTACCTGTAAATGCTTTTAACTCTTTTTCATCCAAAAGCAAAGAACATTTCAGTTGAAGTTTCATAAGGTGTGATATTCTTACTTTCACCTTAGATCAGAGGTGGGGAATTATGGCCCCTTTATGATTTGTGGACTTCAACCCCCAGAATTCCTGAGCCTGCATGGGCATGACTGGCTCAGGAATTCTGGGAAATCCACAAGTCATAAAAGGGCCATAGTTGCCCACCCCTGCCTTAGATACAAGGTACGGAACAAAAGGTAAGGTTTCAGCAGGTTCTGACCAGTTCTGGAGAACCGGTAGCGGAAATTTTGAGTAGTTCAGAGACCTGATAAATACCACCTCTGACTGGCCCAGCCCCCATCTATTCTCTGCCTCCTGAGTCCCAGCTGATAGGGAGAAAATGGAGATTTTGCAGTAACCTTCCCCTGGAGTAGGGAAGGAATAGAAATTTGACAGATACTTCCCCTGCCACACCCACCAAGCCATGCCCACCAAACCATGCCACACCCACCAAGCCACACTCACAGAACCGGTAGTAAAAAATTTTGAAACCCACCACTGGTACGGAAAGAGAATGAGTGTCCTGTCCTACAAATGAAATTATATCTCTGGCAGTCTGCAATCTCCCTTGCATCTCCAGGTGTCAATTAAATGTGAAAAGATAGAAAAACTCCTCCCTGGGTGCTTTTTTCAGATGAGCAAACAGCAGCAGTCAGGGAGATATCAAAGTAATAGAGAACTGTATAACAGTAAACCTAATTCTAAACCTCATCACTTCACAATAATTTATATCAAAACACCATGAAATGAACTTTGAAAGCATCCTGCGAATGATATATAAAAAAACGAAGGTGCTTTCACAGGGGAAGAAAAATTGTCTGAAATTGGGGAACAGATGTTCAGTTCTGGATTTGATTTGATGTTGATATATATAAAAGTGAAGAGATCTTACTCTGATTATTTCAATTTTACTACTGCTAAGTAAAGTTTAAAAGAAAATGAGACCTCTGAAGCTACCAGCCCGAGTGCACAGACTTTATTCGTAGATGGATTAAAACATTAATATTCTTATGTAATTATTATAAAGATAATAATAGAAAGAGATTTCATTTTAATCTATAAATCTAACTATGGTGTCAAGGGGCACATTAGTGCATAACAATAATGGAAAGCCAATGGAATTATATTGCTAGAACAAGTAGGACAAATAACTGGAAAAATAAAGAAAAAGATTACATCTGGAATGCAATGAATAGTCATAAGCAAATTTCAGTAAAATTAAAATCGGCTCTCAATTACCAGAATGTTTTCAGCCATGTATCGCTTCCTGGAATGAAGCTAATACTAGTGGAAGTGCTTTGGGATTTCTGGAATTATTAATGTTTTAATTTCACCAAAAGTACATCTTCAAACACTGTATACTCTGGATTAGTCACCTCTGTATTGATTTCGCATTTGGGAAATATTTTTCTTTTTCTCTTTGCTGGTGTTTTCTTTATTTGTTTTTGTAACTGTTCTGTTTTTCTTTAGTATTTTATAATAAATTTAATAAATGAACAACTGGAAAGGGCCAAGCCAGATTCACACAGTCTCCTTGTCTGACCACAAGGATGCTGCACTATAGATATGACTATTTTCTTATCCTCAAAAGTCTACATGTGGGCAATATAGAGCATGCTAATGCACATGGGTGAAGTGGCCTGAAATGACATATTCTGTGACACATAATGTGTCCAATTCATTCTACCAGTTTCGTATGAGAACTTCTCCTCTGCTGTAAGGACCTGTTGTGGTCCCTGAAGTTTTCTCCTATCCTTCAATATCTCCATTGGCTGCAATCATCATACCCTATGTTCCTAGAGCTAACTTTTTGTTTTGTTAATAAACAATTGGTCTGTCTGAAGATGAAGACTGTCCTGTTCATGTCTTAATACATATAGCACCATTTCTCATCAAAGACCATGGATTGGATGTGTGGATATGCAGATTGGTAAAACTCCAATCCATTTTACTCTTTGCTTTTTATTGATAGATCTCCCTCAGCTTTTAAATGAACATTTTTATGAGGTCCTTCTTTGTAGATATTTCTAAAGGAACCTTTTTTAAAAAAATAGATAAGCATTCTTTTAGAAACAAAATAGCTTTCTCTTTCTTTCTTTCTTTCTTTCTTTCTTTCTTTCTTTCTTTCTTTCTTTCTTTCTTTCTTTCTTTCTTTCTTTCCAGTTTTGAAAAACACACAGGGGACTTTCAAATAAAGATGAGGTTAAGGGATATGTCCCCATTATCACATGATATTATATTGAAACCCTTGTGAATAATTTTGACATACCCATGAACAAATTTTATCTGAGGACAGAGAAATGCTATTTCAAGTCAGCATATGCTGCTTCAGAATCAGCATAGCATCACTGCTTTTTGCTTGAAGAAGTGTATGCTCCTTGTTCACCTTCACTTTCCAGTTCTGGTATGCCAGCATTTATATTTTGAAAGACAAAATAACTTTGCTGCTATGAAGACCAGGAAGGATTTGAGGATTTTTAGTGCATTTGCTAATAATTGTTACCAATTCACACTTCCTTATGTAGAAGGAACTCAAATTGTTTCTGCAATTTTAGTACAAGCACAGAATATATGTAGGACATGCTTGCAATGTATTTTCTAAGGGAAACTATGGCTTTTTTTAGGGATGGAGTGGGACATGAACTTTGTGTCTTGAAAATGTAACAAGGAAGCACTGATTGGTTTGAACTTTGTTATGTTTTGCTATTGGCCAGAAAGGCTTTATGATATGTAAAATGGAGTATCCCATTGGTCAACGAGTTTCAACTGGCGGGACCTAGGAGGAGGGCCTTTTCAACTTCTGCTCTCCATCTTGTGGAACCTCTTACCTCCAGAGGCAAGGTGAGTCCCACTCTTCTGGATTTTCTGGAAGAGTGTTAAGACCTGATTTTGCTTATCAGCATGGGGGTCTAAAAGTGTGATGCAGCCTGGGGATGTCTGGTGGCCTGAGGACACTCCTGCTGCCTTGTTAACCTCTTAGCTTTTGAATTTTAACCTGATTTATTTTTACTTGTATGTTTTGACTTGTTTTAATTCTGTTTTTAACCTACGTTTCTATTTATGTATTTATACGGTTTTATTACGGTGTTGTAAACCACCCAGAATCACATAGGTGAGATGGGCAGCTTAGAAACACAGCAAATTTGATGCTATCCATTACAATGTGCCTATGTTGGGGCAGAATCTGCTTAGATGGATCTTGCAGGTCTGTTCCTTGATAAGTTTGTTTTATTCTCTAGTGTGATTCAGAAACTCTCTTTGTTGGACATTCCCATTTGTTTAACTGTACAAAGCTTCCTGTTGATGGATAGAGAAGTTGTCCATTTTTCCAATTACTTTTTGATCCTTGGCACTCTCTTTAATTTCTGAAAATTTGCTCTGCAGAACTCAGACTCTGAAACAGGAAGGAATTCTTCCATTCATGCAAAGGTAAGCCTGAAACCAGTCTAGAATTATCTGACAATGGATCTGAGTGTAAAATAGCCAATTTTCTAATGTTAAAGGCTGTGCAACAAGCTACTAATTTGGAGATAGCCTAAATAGTTATAGAATTAAAAGATAAACATTTCTCTATGTGAAGTTTTTACTAACCGAATCTCCTTTTGATCCTGTAGATCCCTGTGTACCAGGCAGACCCCTGTCTCCCTTTTCTCCTTGTTCTCCTGGAGGTCCAATCAAACCAATCAATCCAGGATGTCCCTTAAGTAGATATAACAAAAATATGACTTGCGGTCAAATAATACAACTGAAAGAATAGCTTCCAGTGGATGATAATTATGTTTTTAGGCAATGATATATGGAATAGTCTCTATGATCTCTATGCTAATGATATATTTCCACGTACCTTTTCTCCTTTTGAACCTGGATCCCCTTTCAATCCTGGCAAGCCGGGTGGACCCTGAAGATATCAAGAAAAATAACATGAAATAAAGATGCCAGCTATTTCTGAACCAAGTTCATCAAAGGTTCTGCATGTTCATACGTAATCCCATCTCACAGCATTCAATGGCCAATGTCATCCAGTGTGCTACAAGGCACAAGATGACCTTTAACAATATGCTCTTATAAGGAATTTATCTGAGTAATTCATTGGGCTAATGTTGGCTGTGGTTTTTATCCTGCTTTACCTGACATTTATTGTTCTCTTTGTGATACTGAGCAGGCTTAAGAAGGTCACTTTATTTCAATTCAACCTGCTTTCCAGTTGACATCAGTCTGTAAAACTATACAGAAGCACAATCTGGCTGCAAGTGAGTTTTATTAATTAATGTATTAATTATATCATTCTGATAGCCACTTTTTTCCTGGGAGCTTAAAGTCACAAATGAGCTCCACATTACAGGAAAAAGAAGCTATAAGAAGGTTATAACAGCCTGTGCAGTGTGGTTAGAATGCTGTATTGCATTCTACCTGCATAACACACTGCTCGCTGTCAGGAGTTCGATTCTGATTGGCTCAAGGTTGACTCAACCTTCCATCCTTCAGTAAAATAATCAGTAAAATGCGGACCCAGATTGTTGGGGGAAATATGTTGCCTCTGTAAATTGCTTAGAGAGGGCTGTAAAGCACTGTGAAACAGTATATAGGTCTAAGTGCTATTGCCATTGCTTTGATTTCATTGTTGGCTACCGTATTTTTCAGAGTATAAGACTCACTGGAGTATAAGACGCACCTTAGTTTTTGGGGAGGAAAATAAGAAAAAAGCTGATTGGCAGGTGGATCGGCCTCCCGGAATACCCCCAATCAGCTGTTCCCAGAGGTGAATTTTAGCAACAGGTTCCTTGGTTGTGAGCTCTGTGCCTACTTTTTTTTTGCTTTTTTTTCTGCCTCTGAAACTTCTGAAACTCTGTTTCAGAAAAAACTTTTTCCTGCCTCTGAAAGCCTCCGAAACAGAGCTTCCAAAAAAAAAAAAAAAGCCTCTGGAGTTCTGTTTGGGGGCTTTTTTTCTGAAGCTCTATTTGGGGGCTTCTTTTCTGAAGCTTCTTTTCTGATGCTTTTTTCAGCCTCTGAAACCTCCGTTTGAGAAGCTGGGCGGGGCTACATTTGGAGATTTTCACCCTCTTTTTTGGGGGAAAAAGGTGCGTCTTATCCTCTGAAAAATACGGTATTTGTCCTAAGCATCTTTTCTTTCATTTGAAGTCTTTCAAAATTATTTGTCTGAGAACAGGGAGCTTCCTTATTATTAAAGTAATAGAAAAACATATCATCTGCAACTATGACATTTAGAGGAAACCCTATGATTTTTTTTTTTAAGTTAGTGCAATATTTTTTTTCTCTGTCTGACCTAAACAAAGCTGTATGTCACATATATACTCAATCCAATTCAGGGTCTGGCCATGCTTATTGCTGGAATACAGACCTTGTTCAGTTTCAAGCTGAGAGAATGAGGTTTTTGAAAAATTATCCACTCCCAGGTTAGAGATAAATGAAGGAAAAATGTTACACTTTTGCAACAGTTAAAAAGAAAATGCACATATTTATTTTAGAATGCCAGGCCAATGTTACAGGGAGGGCAGTTACAAAGAAGGATGAAGATGAAAGATAATATGTGGAACCTACAAATAACAGGTGAAAACTATAAGCTAATTTTTCATGTCATGCAACACCAGTTGTTTTCAAATGTACAGAAAGGATATCAACTATTTTATCTGTACAGAGTAATGTCAAAGTGTTCTAAACAGGTTTAGCAAAATAAAGCATTCATTTAGGGACTTCTATCAAGCCGGAACTGAATTATTGCAACTAAATCTGAAAGAAGCAAGCATAGGACTGCAACATAAATCTCACTTAATGCAAGTGATAAGACTCACTTATGAGTAAGTAGGCATCAGAATACGTTATTAATTATTCATTGAACAGCTGCTTTGCAGTGATGAGAAGGCTGTCGATGGTAGGGTAGGGAATAAAATATCTCAGGTTGTAATCCTTTATACACTTACACGTGAAGCCCAAAAGAACTTAATAGGATATCATTAGGAGTAACTGTGTTAGGAATACACAGGTAATTCCAACTACTAACTCTTAACATTTCTGCTTTTAGGTAGCATTAGATGCAAACGTTCTAGGCAAATGTATAGTTCATAAAGATTACACATATATTCTCACCTGTGCCACATTTGGTATTCCTGCTTTACCTAAGGCTTTGTGTTCTGTTCACAAATGCAATACACCTGAGCTTAACAACTGGAGCAATGTATAGAATTTTAGGCAGGAATCAGTGAGTTAAAAGGCTAGATATCTAATTAACATTACTTTTTTTATTCTTATCAAACTAAGTTTGCAAAGTTACATCTGAAGATGGATATAATTAGTAAAGTCTGAATTGGTATTTGATTTAAAATCAGAAGTGTAAGAAGACCTAGGAGCACAGATAGACTCTACAGTAATATGGATGGATTTTTGATGCCTCTACTTTCTACTTCTGCTACTCAAGAATAAATCACAGTTGATCAGTCTTAAAAGATATTGACTAGGACTTTGAAAACAAGCCATACTAGATGCTAAAAGAAACATGACACTATTCTTGTTATATATGTTCACAGCTTTTCAGGTAGTTATAATGCAGTACAGCAATGTCATTCTGTCATATGTTGATATAGAGAGAGTAACGAAGAGTATATTATAGCATGACTTCAATCTGACAGTCTTTTAAAGGTTTTTATCTACGGTTCCATGTCAAGCAAAAAGATGAAGTCTGGCAGAAAAATAAATTTAGCCTATGTTTTAAGACAGTTTCATAAACAAAATACTTACCATGGGACCTGGTGGGCCATCTTGACCAGGTACTCCAGGTAAACCTTGTTCTCCCTGCATGAAGACATAAATTCAGCTTAATTTGGAAGAGCACATTATGAAAACCTGAACCAAGAAAGGAAAAAAATGTAATGGTTGATATACTCACCACAGGGCCAGGAATACCCCTAAGTCCTTCTGGGCCAGATTTTCCTGCAGGACCTTGAGGGCCAACTGGGCCAGTTTTTCCCGGAGCACCCTCTGATCCAGCCTCACCCTATGACATAAATATCAGTGTGAATAATCATATACTGTTGAATCAAATTATTTACACATAAAGGAAAAGTTGATAAGAATTCCACAGCCAGTACAAGAAATAATCCTTTACCTGAGCAAAAGACAAGAAAAGTATCCAAGCAGTACCCTTGAGGAGGTGGTAAGTGCAGCCGGGTAAGTGCAGCTGGGCATCCCCTAGGGCCGTGATGGCGAACCTATGGCACGCATGCCACAGGTGGCACACGGAGCCATATTGGTGGGCACGCGAGCATTGCCCTAACTCAGCTCCGGCATGCGCATCTGATTTTCGGGCCTTTCGGGCCCCCCGGAAGTCAGCAAATGGGCCGTTTCCAGCCTTTGGAGGGCCTCCGAGGGGGTGGGGAAGGCTGTTTTCGCCCTCTCCAGGCTCCAAAAAAGCCTCTGGAGTCTGGGGAGGGCGAAAAACAGGCCTACCGGGTCCACCGTGCCATCACATGCCAAAAGCGGGGGGGAGCAGGGGAAAGGGTCGTGTGCACATGGTGGGCACATTGAATTATGGGTATGGGCACAGACAAACATGACCCCCCCCATTCCCCCCACTTTTGGCACGCGATGGCAAAAAGGTTAACTATCACTGCCCTAGGGGAAGTGGGGCTGTGCTGAGTTGTGGAGTCCCAGTGTCCTGGGAGTTCAAGGGCCGGGCTGGGCACTTGCCCTCTGCTTCCTAAGGTTCTGGACAGCCTGTGCCACTGTCCAGAGGTTCTCCACATGTCCTGAGAGAGATGGCAAGGCTCCTCTGGAGGACAAGGGTTAGGCGCTCTCCCTGGTCTTGCCTTCCTCCACTGGAGACAATGGATCTCCCCAGCCCTGCCCAGGCTACCAGAGGTGCCCCTGACACGAGTGACGTTGAGTTGGCTATGCCCACCCTGGCCATGCCTACCAGGCCCCCCAAGTTCAAACACAACCCTGATGCGGCCCTTAATGAAATCGAATTTGACATCCCTGGTTTAGACCATGTTCCTGCCTTTTCTTCAGAAACGTCTAAAGATTTGGATTGAAATAATATTCACTCATTTTTGGCTAACAAGGATGTACAGAATTTAATGCAAAAATGATTAGAGTAAAGATACAACTGTTACATGCTACCATTTGGATAAATAGACTATTAACAAGAGACAGCCTAGTAGAATAATGAACCTCTCAGTTGATAGCTGCTAGGACTGAAAAGCTTTTGGGATCCAATTCCAAAAAGGTGTTTTGGAGAGCATGAGAGAATATTAGCTGCAGCTCCTTAATGAGTACCTTTCCCTAGGATTGTGTGGCTGCAGTGTGCAGTCACTACATGATTCTGAGAAAAGATATTGCTTTAAAATTGAGACAGGTGCTGCTTTCTTCTTTTACATGCTTTAAAACACCTGGGATTTTGGAACTGAAACCAAACCATTTACAGTCCTAATAGGTAGTGCCTTATCTTGTCATAAAAATATCACCACTTCTGGACAAATCAATCACTCATCTTTTGCTCTTGATTTATGATTCATTCATTCATTTGTTTGTTCAGGTTTGAGGATGCCCAGCTTGACAAGACTCTGGGAAGCTCACAACATTAAAAGCAAGAAATGATAAAACAGTAAGAATAAAGATTGTGTGCATCCAGAAGAAGTAAAGTAATTTTTATAGGGACCCCCACCACCCAAAGGTTGGGATGAACAGCCAAATTTTCACTACTTTTTGAATATTATCAAGGAGGAAGTCATATGAATGTGTAAATAGGGGAGGGCAGAAACGTGTTCGGCTTGTACTTAAAATATTTACCTTTGCTCCTTTTTCACCTTGTCTTCCTTCTGCACCAGCTGCTCCAGGAGGCCCCTGTCATAAAAGGAGGAAAATGTATATTAAGTATAATGAGATGAGTTAGAATCAGACTTTATCCCTACTTCATGAAGAGATACATCTCTTCCATAGAAATCTTCACAGGGAATGTTTTTCTGGAGGAGTAGAACAAAACTGTTGCTGATTTTGATCCACTATAGCCCTTGGTCCTCTTAAAAATCTCATCCAAAGTTGGAGCGAAAGGATCTTAGACAGCTAAATAAAAACTTGCAGGCTGAGCTCCTCGAAGATGGCTGCTGAATAGTATGGAGTTGTTTCTCTCTTGCTGATCTGCTGATTTTGCTGCCTAAGTTGGTTTTCTGGCAGTGCTGCTCCCTGGATTTGAATGGGGGCACTTAGAAATGATCCAAGACAACTTTTGGATGGCTATGGACACATTTGGGAAGGGGAGTACTGAAAATTCCAGTTTCCTTTGGGAGTGGTCAAAAAGTCTTCCTGTCAGCATTTCAGGTTTTCTTAAGCATGCCCAGGTCTTAATTTCACTTTTTGAATTTTTGCTTTGCTTTTTAACTTTTAAAAGTAGACCGGCTGGCTAAATGCTGATTTATTTCAATCCCCTGCTGGACTTTAGCTGTTCTCTTTGGTCTTTTTCTCATTCATTCATTCATTCAATTTATATTGCCACCTATTTGCCCATGGCGACTCAAGGCGGCTTACAGAATATAAAACCACATTTAAAATAATAAAAACTAACTAAAAGAATCAAATAAATTAATATAGTACAATATAACAAAATCACCCCCCACCTCCCACCTCTGCCCCAGCCACAGCAGATGACATGAGCCATTTAATGGGCTCCATCCCGCTCTTGGTTCCCCAGGCCCGCTGGCAGAACCAGGTCTTCAGCGCCTACTGGAAGAGTATTAGAATAGGGGCCATTTTAATCTCTGGGGGAATGATGTTCCAGAGAGAGGGAGCCACCATGGAGAAGGCCCTTCTTTTGGGTCCCACCAGGTGTATCTCTCTCAGGGATGGGACCTGCGACATTCCCTGCCTCCCCACTCTGATGGGTCAGGTAGATGTGACCGGCAAGAGACAGTCCCACAGATATCCTGGTCCCAAGCCACGAAGGGCTTTAAAGGTGATAACCAGTACCTTGAAGCAAATCGGAACCAATGCAGCTCCCACAGGAGAGGTGATACAGTACATGTGTACACCGGGGTCTGCACAAAACCATGTGGGCCACTACATTTTGCACCAACAGGAGCTTCCAGATGCTCTTCAAGGGCAGCCCCATGTAGAGTGTGTTGCAATACTGAAGATGGGAAGTGACTAGGGCATGAATGACTGTGAGTAGGGACTGTTGGTCCAAGGAAGGGCATAAATGGCGCACAACCCGCAATTGAGCAAAGCCCCTCCTGGCCACGACTGCCACCTGCTCTTTGAGCAGGAGTTGTGAGTCCTGGAAAACCACTAGATTTCGCACAGGATCTGATTTTCTGATAATAACACCACACCCCCTCCCTGGCCCTGAGGTCTAGACTGGTGCCATGCTCAATAACCCACTGGGCACATTTCTATGAAGGGAACGCCTCCCTCTGGGCCCAGCCAGTTCTTGGTTATACAAGCCAGAGCAGCATTCTCTTTGTGGATCAAATCGGCAATAAAGCTAACCTTATTGCAAGCTGATCTGACATTTAAAAGCAGCAGCCTAAGTGTTCTGCCCCAGCTACGGATCCCAAGGAATGTAGCACACTCAAACTATGAATAAAGCTCAATTTACTTCCAAACGTAGTTTTCTACAAATGCAGGCTGTTAATTAAAATGTTCTTAACAACCTGCCAGAAAGTCCACAGATAAGATAAAGTCTTACGAGAGTTGGCAGAAAGCTCAGAAGCAAGGTTTGCAAAGACAATCCACATTCAATGACCAGCAAGTGAACATGCATTGTTTCCTGCAATGTTTACAAACTGTGTGCAAACTTAAATAGGCTAACAGAGTGGCCAATTAGCCTCAAGCCTTACTCTCGAGGAGACTTCCTCCTGAGTAACCACTCCTGCCTTTTGGCAGCTCTGCATGCTCGTGCATTGAGAAGAGGCTCCTCCACTTCATCCTCTTCACTTGAAGGAGCCTCTGGAGATTCTGAAGGCCCTGGCTGAATCTCTGCCTCTGGCATCACATCTTCTTCAACCTCCTCGCTGTCCGACTCGAGCGCCGGCTGCACAGACTGTCGGGATCAGCAACAATCTGCACAGGCCGCTGGTGGGCCACAACACTAAGACCAGGGCCACCACAGATCTGCTGACTAGGTAAATGAGGTGAGTGCAAGGGGGCAGAACACGAGACCAGTATTAAACACTGAGGTTGTGTTCCCCATGCGTGCCCCCCCTTGCCTCCTATATTTCCCGTTACCCAACACCACTGAAATAGGTCACCCTCCTCTGCCTTCCCTGAGAACCATTCCATCCCCCATTCCCAACTCTCCTCCTTAAAAAGGGGAAAAACCTCCTCCCACTGACACACTGTCAGGGCAAGATGAGCCTTACATAAATACTTATTTATGCTGTTCTTCTAAATAATAAATAAATGAATATCTGGATTTTTGTAGCCCTGATCTGGTAGCTCTGGTAGATGGACAGTTATAGATGTGGTGATAGGTTTCACTTACCTTTGCTATCAGTTCACTCGCGCACACGCCACTGCTGTGCACACACAGAAGGTTCTGTACATGCGCAGAGGGTATTTGATGATGTCCGGGCGGGTGGGCAGAGCCTCCCGCCGCTGCTACTACCGGTCGCCTGAACCGGGGTGAACCGGTAGCAACCCACCACTGATGTGGTCACCTGTATGTGAAGTGGTAGTGAGAGCAGAGAAGCCAAGAACCCCTCTGCAACTGGGATAGATCTTTCATTATTGCAACATAAGACTAATTCTAAAAAAGCATATCTAGCTTTTGTGGAGGAGAAATAGAAAAGGCAGCCCTGGGTTGTGTGTTAGACAGCCTAGTTGGATGTATTCCTGGGCAACGGACCATTCTCCCCAGAATGTTCAGAAAAGAAGAGAAAAGTTGACGAAGTATCAATGAGTGAAAGAGAAAATATCCATTAATCTACCTGAATGTAAAATATGCACAATTGCCACCCCAGCAAAAAAAGGCAGGCCTTTTTTTTTTTTTCACACAAGGAAAACAATTATCTATTTTTGTCAATATATTGTCAGCAAGATGTTTCTGTTTCTGCTGAGTTTGATGAGATTTTAGAAACTTTAAAAAGCCACTTCTCTAAGATGCATGCATGCATCTCTTTGATTAAACAGCCCAGCAGGCTAGAACAGTTCTAGTTCCTACTAAGGTTTAAAATATAGCTTTATTTCATTCTTTGCATGACACATGCATCTAGCAGAACTGACTGGTCTAGGATTACAAGTCAGTAATGCATGTCTTAATGCTTAGCTCATATGTGTTTGTGTATGTATATGTATAAGTGTGTGTGTGTGTGTGTGTGTGTGTGTGTACACACACACACACACACACACATACACACACCAGGGGTGGGTTCTACTTACCTTTACTACCGGTTCGCGGCAGGGCCGCGCATGCTTGCTTTGCTTACGTGCGCGTGCGCTCTTCTGCGCAAGCGCAGAAGCATTTTGATGACGTCAGGGTTCATGGGCGGAGCCTTCCGCCGGTTTTACTACCGGTTTTATGGAACCGGTGCGAACTGGGGGCAACCCACCACGGATACACATACACATACATACACTGTGTATGTGTGTGTGTATATATATATCACCATATCTCTTAGTGCAGAAGTGTGCAAAAGTGCAGAGTTCTGGGAAAAACAGTAGATGGAACAAACTCACATTGTTCATACAACCCATGTCAAATATTAATAATATATTTTCCTTCTCCTATTTTCCTCACAAAAGCACTCCTGTGAGGTAAGTTGGGCTGAGAGAGTGACTGCTCAAGATCATCCTGCTGGCTTTCATGTCATTGGCTAAGGCAGGACTAGAACTCACAATCTCCTGCTTTCTAGCCGGGTGCCTTAATCACTAAACCCAAATGAAACATGCTTGACAATAAAATAAAATAATTCTCCTCACCAACACCACACATATTTCCACCTTGGAAATTAAACTTCATAATGGATAATCAATATAATTAAGGCTATGCTTAATAAACTTTTAAAACATCCATTATCATTTGTAAGACCATTCCGTACAAAAAGTAGATTAATAAAAGCACAGAATGCAAAACAAAAACAAAACAAAACAAAGGAACAACATATACCACATGTGTATCAACAAACTATCAACAAAGTACTGTATGTTTTCAGTTGCATTTGTCACGACAACCCTAAGTTTATTGTACATTGTATAAAAAGAGATTGTGTTACAAGAGCACTGATATGTTATTTCACTACATGAGACACACTTGAACAAGCTTTGAAATGGTTAGAGCAAATGATCTTGGGGACAGGAGAAACAATACAAAACTTTATAATAATTATAAATGTACTTCTTGCATAATCTAGGAATGCAGCTGCAACATCAATTAGCAGTGCTTAGGAACACTGTGATCGCTAAATTATAAATACAATGAATCATGATTGCCAAAACAAAGGGGAGGGGCTATATCCATTATCAAACAGTACCAATTCTGCACCGAATGCAAAGTTGGTAAATGAAAAGCTCTTGTTAACCCTCATCAGTTGCCAGCATTGCACAGATGGAGCTTCTGAAAAAGAAAGATGGCTAATTGTTATTTATCTGTCTTTGCTATGCTTAGATTTTGTAGTGTGGAGGAAAATTTTAACTAGCACAAAATATCTCAGCAACAAGAACATGGAATTAATCTCTTTCTCTCCCCTACCCAAGTCTCCGAAATATGATCAAGTTGTACTGAAATTCAATGAATAAGTCT